GGTCAACAAGATTTCTGTCATTCGGTCAAACCTGGGTTTGTCGTTCGTGCCCATACACAAGTTTTTGGCGTTCGGTCAACAAGATTTCTGTCGTTCGGTCGCTCCTGGGGTTGTCGTTCGGGCACTTAAGGTTTTGGCGTTCGGTCAACAAGATGTCTGTCGTTCGGTCACACAAGTTTCCATCGTTCGGTCAGTATGTGCTTTGGAAAAGTTTCTTTGCACAACTCCTGCAGCTTTCATGGAGTTGGTCCAGCTTCGGGAATTCCAGAAACTGGTTGACAAAGGAAATTGAACAAAGCACATGGATCAATGGTTCTCACACGCGAAACAATCAGTTGCTCCAGATTCGAAATGGTTCAACTCCTGGAATTTGAAGAATGGTCCACTACTACAAGTTGCCACTCACTGCATCAAATCTTAGTGTAGAAAGTCCAAGCCCCGCCATACAGTGCACAATGCAACAGCCGAGCCACACCAATCGACATGCAAGCCCACGCTTCTGACCATCGCCGCAACATCGCAATAATGAAGATCAACATCATGAACTTGGGCCTGATCAAGATTGCTTTCTAGGCTAGGGAGGCTAATAGTCAAATCCTAAGTCCTAGCGTTCAGTGTGCCATAAAGCTGGAAACCAAACTTCAGTGTGCACCTTGCAGTGCATTCCTCTTTCTCAAGAGGTGCTATGCAACCCATTCAGTCAACGCATCAAACCCAAAAGCCGACCGAACAAATGACAACCACCTTAACTTTGCATCTTTCGGCGCGTTCCTCTTTTGCAAGAGGTCCTATTTAAGAAAAACTCCCACATACATCCACCCATCCCATTCCTCACCCCATCACCTCAATACAACATAAATGTAGTGTAGTGGAGTTCAGGGGTATTAAACCCTGGAAGCAAGGGCAAGGTGAAAACTCCAAATAGACATGAAAACATCAACTAACAGTGAGGTGGCTTAAGCGCATGTCTTGCCGTATGCTCCCCCAAGGTGAACAGTGTTTTTGGTGGGAAACTTCTGGTTTGTGGTCGTGAGCGCCTACACTTTCAGAGCAAATCCAACCTTGCAGATGGTCCATCCCACTTGTTGTTTTTCTTCGGGGTTGTTGGTATAGGTGCAACTTGGGCTCCTCCAGTCCTCCAGATCCCGGCGTATTGTGAGAACCCACCGCCACCCCTGCATCCCAGTGTGGCGCACACTAGAGAGACTTCACTCGTCACGCCGGGGCAGAGTGCTCCGGGCATCATCATCTCTGTAAGTGAGAGACTCATGCATGTTGTAGGTCCACATCGAACACGCATGGGTTTGAATTGTGGAATGATGTGGAATGTTGTGGATGTCACCATCACGAGTGTGTCGGGCAAGTTCCGTATCCAACGCAGACTTCAAGTCAAAACGAGAGGAAAACAATTGTTCGGGGGAGCGTTCTTCCCATGACTGTTAAAGAATGTTTTTACTAGCGTGGCCAAAATCGAAACCCGCCACAGGAACAGTTGACCCCCCACAAGCTGCCGAAAGCTTGTCACCCACCCCACCCACGAACACCCCCACCCCACCAGAAAGAATGCTCTGGGTCTCGTTTCTGTGGGTGAAAGACTCACGCATGAAGGTCCGCGTCGAAAACGCGTGGGTTTGAGTTGTGGATGCCAACGTCATGAGCAGGTCGCGCCAAGTTCCCTATCCAACAGACCTTGAGTGAAAATGAAAGGGGAAAACATGGGAAAACAACTTTGTTCGGTCGAGTGGCCGAAATATTCACAGTGCTCTCCCTGTCCCTTAAGGTCCGAGAAGCTCAAAACAAGAAGTGCTTCTTGGAGAAGCTTCAAAACAGAGCTGCCAGTGCTGTTTCAAAGCTTCTGCAAAAGTCTTTTAGAAGCTCTGTTTTGAAGCTTCCCAGAAGTGCTCTGGAAGTGCTTTTGGGAAGCTCTGAAATGAAGCTTCTGAAGATTCCTAGTTTTACATGTGACAACCTCAGCTTTGCAGATTTGCACCTTTTTCTGGTGTGGTTGAAGTGAAACAGTCTTG